GTTACTTTGTGTGCTGAAAATGCCTATGAGCCACTTCCGATAGCCAACTCACACAATGGAGGTTAGCTGCTGGGTGACATCGATACCGAGTATCGATTTGGACATGTAATGGATCCTTCCAGGTGGCCCCCAGGGATAGGACGGCTGTATCAATGTCGGCTTTTAGTAAAGTGAGTCCAGTAAAGACTTCCTGTGTATTTAAACACCTACGTTGGTGTGCGTGTACATCTACAATGCATAATACATGAATGCAACAAGCAGGTGCTTGGATACATGAATATCATTCAAGGATGTTCACCAGGAGACGTGCCTGCTCAATGCTTCCTCTGAACAAGCTGTAGGGCAAGCACCACCTCCAGAAGCACCGAGAAGGATTACAACGGGCTCCAAAGGGCAAGAATGCATCAGAACCCAGGGTCCCAAAGAGATCGAAACACAACGAGTCACAGGAGTGAGTCTTCGTATCTATTGTGAATACAATCTAGAGGGTGTGTAGGACAGAACCGCAAAAGAGCTCAATGGGTCAACTTGGATGCCACGGGGATGAATTGGTTATTCATGAGTGTATCAATTCGGGAGGGCACCTCCTGGGAGAAGCCATGTGGCAGATGCAAAAGAGATGGCCCAGCAGTCCACGTCCTTCAAATATTAAAACAGAAAACAACCGAGCACAGAAATTGTTCTAATGTGGTAGCGTTGAGTTCAACTGACCCAACCAAACATTTATCCATGGAATGGTGAACTGGCCAGCTTCCCATTCAGTTCTTGGTGATCTGGTTTTTCACCATCCTACACACCCTATGCAAATTGTATTCCAAAATGGCGAACTCTTCTCTGATTGCCCCCCCCCCAGCCCCTCCCCCAGATGTGCAGGGAACAGACCCCTAGTATTTGAGCTCCAGGCCTCACACATCTGGTGGATGCCAGCTGAGGAGGGTGGCTTGATAGATGCCGATGCCAAAACTTTGTGGCTACCCTCAGCTGTACTTTGAATGCACTTAGCAGTATGCCTATAACCAGCAGTTTTGTGCATGAAGGGTTAGACGGCTCCACCTGGGAGAGGCTTTCTCCTTTGGGTTGCATTTTGGGGTCACGATGGAGTATTGAAAAATTAAGTTACACACATGACTTTACCAAAATCTTTTTTTTTTTCTGGGAAAAAGAATTGTTATGCGCACTTCTCAATTTATCTGCAAAATGCTCTATTTATCACTGAGCCGGCTAGAGATTTCCCTGCCCGTGTAGTGCGATATACCAATTTGACATCCAAACACTTGAACCTCTGAGGAATTATTCTCTCAAGGATGCAGCAGTAAACAGCGCTAGAAAGAAACTTTGGTGTGTGTGTGGAGGGGGGAGGGAGGATATTACAACTATCTAAGAGATTTGTTGGATATTTTGAAAGGCAGATGATGCTTGGCTGTTATCTGAGCCGACCAGCTGTGCTTTCAGCAAACCAAGGCAGGATCTGGAGTTTCCCTTTCTGAAACCCTGCCCTGGAGATCTCTCTCTGGAAAGACTTGCTCGCTGGAGATTCAGGACCCAGGAGGTCCTGCCACCCAGGAACATTTTGGAGATCTTGACAGAAACATTTAGCGGATGAATCAGGGAGGTTCTGCTCACTCTCTGCCCCAGGTCCTCCGTGGCTCCTTTCTTAAGGACCGAAATTTAGACTGAATGCACAGCCACAGCTTGGAGAGATTCCACCTACAAGGCTTTAGATAGCCGGAGGGAGGAGGAGGGATGGTTTGAAACCCAGGCTGTCCTCCCAGAACAGGATCCTGGGAAAGGGCGGCGGGTTGGACCAGACCATCGGCCTGCCTCGCCCAAGGGGGTCACCCCATGTCTCTCTCTCTCACACACACACACACCCCGAAAGAGAACAACGAACACGTATTCATGGCTTTCTGGAACTGCAGGAGTTTCTACATGAAAACTGCAACTTCCCAACCTTCCATTACTTTGTTTCAACCCTGAGATGATCTGTCTGTTCTATGCCACCCAGTGGGCGGCCATATAAATTCGGTAAATCAATCAATCAATCTATAGAATAATGTTCTCCAGCGAAATGCTGACCTTCCTTCAAGAGAAAGCCAGCTGAAGGCCACGTGTCCAGGAGGACTAACCGATTCTCAAGGGCCAAGAGGTGGGCCCGAGGCTGCCTGCAGCGAGAGACTCAGAAACTAACGGAGTTGGAAGGGACCTTGGAGGTCATCTAGTCCAACCCCCTGCTCAAGCAGGAGACTCCTGCTGGGCCTGTCTCTTCCGCAGTGGATTGGGACCCTTCCCTGCCGGTTCTCCTTCAGGCCGTGGAGCCCAACCTCAGCCTGCAACTGGGGCTGGAGCGGGAGGGCCAGATCTCGTTCGCGTTTCTCTTCCTGCCTTTCGCGTTGAACCGACATGTATTCACAGTGCAGGTTTTATAAGGTTGCCTTGAACTCCAGTGGGTAAATCCACCCACAGACCAGACCTGGAGTGGGTCCCTAATTTAGGAAGACTTGGGTGATGTTCTCCTTGCTACTCCAAGGTTACTAAATTATGCAAGTTAGGTGCATATATTACATTTTTAAAACAAACTTGTTTAGAGAAGTTGACGCAGATGCCAAACAGATGATTGTGATATTCTGAAAACAAAGTAAGTCATTATTACAGAGCTTCTCCCATTGGCAGATGAGACATTCTCCTCCCAGTGAAGTCCGTTCCATAGATATGACGGTTGGCCTTGGATATTAAGAAGTCAAGGTGGAGTTTCCCTCAACATTATAAGTTGCGACCGTTTTAAGGAAAGTGCCTGTCTCTGTGTATTTTGAATCCAGGTGAGGAGACAAGAAGACAGATACTATGAAGCCCTGAGATACCACCATTGAGACGCAAACACATGGAAGGTGTGGAGTCAGATTATGAGGTCTACAAGCTGTGCAGACGTATCTGCCCCCTCCCCCCAAACGGAAGGCGGCCCTCCTTCCCCAGGGATGAAGGCCTCCTCGCTGCAAAGTTGGGCAGCGCAGTCCCAGCCAACTGACTCAGCCGCAGAATGAGCTGTGAAATGGAACGGAAAGCGACGGGGCACAGAAACCAACATCCAACAGGTCCAACCCTCGGGGCCGATGAGGATTCCAGCACCTCCTCCTGTTTTGGGTTCCTGCTCTGAACTTGTCTCCCCCGAGAAAGAAGGGGGACCAAGGGCGTCTCCAGACGTTACAGGGGGTGCAGGGACACCATGGCTTCATGGAGAAGCTACGTTATTTCTAAGCAGGGATTCTAAAACCTCCCACCTCCTGATCACCGACCCGACCCACTCCTGGTCCCCCTGATTTTAACCGTAGGCGTGGCCTTCCACTCGAGGGAAGAGGTTTTCCTAGGCGCTGTTGACCATAGTGAGGCCCACTCTTTATCCTTCCCAAGGCGGCCAGATTCCTTGGAGGCTCGAGCGCTGCTTCCCGTAAGGGCAGCCCTGGCATCCTTCCTACCCAGGCCTGTCCCTCAAGTGCAAACAACGCCCGTCTGTTCCAAAAGTGGAGCCAAGGGCCCTGGCTTCTGCCCTCAGGGGACCATCCCCAGAAGCAGCTCCTCTTGCTTACTCAGAACCCGGCGCAGCAACTGGGATGAGGCCACCTGGAGTCTCCCGGGCTGATGCCACCTTCACCCGCAATGCCCACCTCCAATGGCCCCAGGCTCCTTCCCACGACCCCTGGCGGTGCAACGTCACACAGAAGATCCTTGCTGAGGGGAGGCCTGGACCGGCTGCTCGCCTTCTGCGTCACGCCAGACCCACACCAGGGTCCGGAAGAGGGAAGTTGTGGGGACGGAAATGTGCAAACCAGCCCTTAGCATCAGGAGGGCTGTCTAAACCAAGGGGGGTGGGGGTAAGGGGGGGCCGTACCCAACCGGGTCCCCTTCGGAAGAACTACGAGAGCAGATCCGCCCCAGAGGCCTCCTGGCTCCTCTCTGGGCTCCTGGCCTTCTCGGGACTGGCAGCTGGTCCAAGAGGGCCCGGAGCACCTGCCCCCCCCCCTCTGCCCCAGCCTGCTCTGGGGGGGAAGCCCTATAGGACCTCTGCTGCCTTAGAGGGGAGCGGGGGGGGGTCGCTGGCCCCCCTTTCCTGAGACAAGCCCCCCGGCTGAAGGCCCAGCATGGAGCTGGTGACCCACTCAGCAGGGTCTTTCCTTGCCAGGAGATCTGGAGGGGGGAGGGGGGGTGAATTGCAGCTGGATCTCTGCACGACAGAGACAGATGAAGACAATACTGATTCCATTCATGGGCCCTGAGGTTTGGCTTTTTGTTTTTGTTTTTTGCTTTCTTTTTCTGTGTTTAAAAATAAGTATGAGGCTAAATCATAGAGCTATAGCGATATATATATAGTTGTTTCTTTAAAAAAAGACTATCTTTCTAATCTCTTGGATGAGTCTTACCATGGTAAGTGTGCAAACGCATTCTTAAACTTGCTTTTTGTTTTGTTTAGCTTTTGTTCTGTGTCAAAGTACATGCATACCATATTGCTTATTCTCTGTTGAAAAATAAAATTTGGGGGAGGGCAGAATTACAGGGGGTGAAAGTGCTCGGAGGACGGAGTCCAACCGACGGGGCAAAAGAAGCATCCGGATAGAAAAACATCACTGTTGCCCACAGGGGGGGGGGTGCAGCTTTTCCCCAGCACAGTGACCGTCCACGGCGGCGGCCACTCCTGTCCTGCTTTCCACCATCCCTGAAAAGGGCGGAGGGGGGCAAATCTGCTCTACAGATCGGCGTTCCTTTGGATCAAGAGTCGGGACTCCACTCGGGGTGCAAGTGGGGGAGGGGAGGGCAGGGAGACGGAACTAGGGATAGTGCAGTCCACGCAGTGGCCCCGGGCAGGGAGTGGACTGTCCCTTCCCAGGGCCTCCTCCTCCTCCTCCTCCTTCTTCTGGTGGAACGGAGCACGTGGGATATGGGACCTACACAAGGCAACTGGACTCCTCCCCCTCCTCCTCCTCCAACGCTCTGCTAAGGGCCATCCCTCCGCTCTGGCCTCCGGCAACTACGTCCCCCCTGGAGCTCAGCGCTACACGTCCGACTCCAGGCTGGGGATCCTCTTATAGACCCGCCGGTCGCTGCAGGAGTTTAGCCCTCGCGGAGCAGAGTACAGGCTGTTCTGAGGGGCAGCGTAAGGCATCCCGTGCTCCGAGACACACCCGTCATTGTGGACCCGGCCATCTCTGGAACAGTATGAGGCCGTCGATTTGACCGACGACCGGGAGACGCTGTCATAGGCCGGCTGCTGCCTGTGCAGTCCGGCGGGACTCGGCCCCAGCACCGAGGGCTGGTCGTCACAGTAAGAATGCAGGAAAGGGTCCTCAGCCGAGCACTCCAGGTACAGCGACTTGATCCTCTTACCATCGTCCAACGTGCGCGAGAAGAGCGGGAGCTTGCCGCCCGAGTGTTTGCTTTGGGGGGCCCTGAAGAGGGTGGCGTAGGGGCCCCCTTCCAGAAGCCTCTCCTTCTCTTTCAGGCTGATGCTACGGGCCGTTCTGCCCCCGTTGCCGTCCCGGTGTTTGCTGAAGAGGTTGTCGAACGAGCGCTGCCTGCTGATCGGCAGCTTGCTCTTCCGGGGCGGCTGGCTCCCCTCCTCCTGGGCCCAGTCCGGCTGGCCCGCTTCTTCCCGGGGCCTGGCGTTGGCAGGGCTCTGCAGCATTTGGCCCTCCTCGATGTCGTAGAGGCTGCCCATCCGCACGCAGGCACCACACCGGTAGGGTGACCGGCTGAAGTAGTGCCCTGCGTAACTGGGCAGGCTGGTCAGGCAGCTCCGGCAGTGGGTGGCCTTCTGCCGGGACCGCTCGTTCGCTTCACTGTAGGCCACGTTCTTGTCTTTCGCGCCGTAGTGCTTTGGGTAGAGCTTGTACTGGCCGTTACTTGGAAGGTTTTCCCCGCTGGTCAAGGGGATCTGGTTGCTCTGCTCGGGGGCCCGGGGGCTGTCACTGCGATCCTGATAGAGGTTGGGAAAGTCAGCCAGCTCAGGAAGGATGATGGTCTCCGCATACTCTGGGGGAACGTCCAGGTGGAACGTGTGCGGCTTGTCCGCCTCGATGATGTAGATTTTGTCCCGGGGTAGAGCCTGCTTGCTCTTCAGGTAGGTCAGCTCCACCTCGCTGCAGTCCTTGGGGTACTTGGAGACAGGCCTCTTCTTCGCGTTGTCCTTGGTCTTGAGGGGTTTGCTGTTGCTCTCCCCCTCAACGTGGCCGGTGGCTCTGCTCGAGGCGTCCGAGGCGTCCGAGGGGTCGTCTTCTGGGAGGTACCTGGGGCCTTTCAGGGAGTGCCGCTGACTGCCCCCCGTGCCCTCGTCCCTCTGAGAACCGTGACTCTGCCGGAGGGAGTCTTGGCGCAGCGACTCCAGCGATTTCCTCCACAGCTGCCTCGGGCGGGAGTTCTCCTTGGCCTCGGTGGCCATGGCCACCTCCACCGTGTTCGGGTTGGACTCGTGCAGCGTGAGGGGGTGCGGCCCTTGGAAGACGTAGTTGTTGAGGGTGTCAGGGTGGCGGTTTGCAGGGAAGGTCTGCAGTTCATTCGTGTTGTCGCTGAAGATGTTCTCCTTGGGGGTCAGAGGGCGGTTGCTGTCCGAGAAGATGAAGCTGCCTTTTTCCATCATCAGGTCCATCATTAACGATCCACGGCGGATGAATTCGGCCGCTCTTTGCGGGGAATTGATCCGCCCGGGGTTCACGTTGGTCATGTTCTTGGCCGTCTGCAGGAGCTTCAACATGTTGGTCTGAGAACTGGTCAGGGTGAAGTGGGGGGACTTCTTCTTCTCCTCAGTGTGGACCCCATGGATGCAACTGTAGATACCCTGCAGGGGAAGCAACAGGAAAGAGGTGCTGGGTTTAGTCTCCAATTCTTTGGAGGGACTCGGGGGGGAAAGTCTTCCTACCCGCCATTCAGGGAAGCATCGCTTTAATTTAATGCGCATTTAAAACCTGGATTTTTAAACGGGGGGGGGGGACGAGACTGCATCCTTGTAAGCTTGGTACAGAGTTTGCGTTATGAGGGAGCACTCAACTTGGAGGAAACAGACTCTTCACAATGACTGTCATGAGAATTAAACCAAGAGAGAAACGGAAATCAAGTACCAACAGATGGGACAGCCAGGGAGAAAGATGGAAAAGGATCTCTTCCCTCATATATTGTCCACCTTCAAGAATTTCTTGGAAGTAACACCTGTACTCAGAAGTAAGTAGCTACATAACTGCATAACCGCTGCTAACAAACCACTGGGGTTTTTGGCCGCCTCTCTCAGGAGAGGCCAGGCTGAGTGGGTGGGATGAACCCATCAAGCCACCCGCCGCGCAGCTGCCGGCTGCAACCCAAGCAATCCCTCAAACCATCAGCAAAGGGAGACACCATCCTTGAAGTCTTCCTTCCTTGTTCTGGGATTATTAGCTCTACGGCTGAGTAGCTCCATCCAATTATTTCTGTATAATTTTTGACAAGAACAGAACCGCAGAGTCAATTAACCAATTAAAGAACACCAACCCAGGCACTGCTCCACGTTTAAACAACTTGCATTTCAACCAACTTATTTGGAAGTAAGAACCCACCGGTGAAAGTGTTAAAAAAACAAAAAAAAAAACCACCCCAATTTTGTGTTCCCATGGACAAGTAACTTCATTCCGAATGCTAATTCCACTTCCCGCAGCAGCCTAATTAGTTGGGAAGGTCTGCCCCAAGTGCTTTCCTGCTGAATCCAACAAAATTCAAGGTAAACTGGCGGCTCCTGGAATGAAACCCCCTTTTTGGCCAGGGGGGTTGATTAAGGCTCTTCCCTTAAACTCCTCTCCTGTCCCTCCCCCTGAGGTGAGATGCGTCCCGGATTGGACCTTGCCCCCTTCTTTTGTGGATCAGGGAAGAACAGAAACGAACGCCTGACCTCTCTCTCCGGCTTTGCCCATTTCTCCAAGAACCGCCAAGGATGAGCTCCCTTGATGCTCCTCCCGCAACAGCCACTCGGAGCGGCTGGGAGCCACGGCAGGTCAACTATGGCTATTACTGCCATCATCCCGCCGTCGTCCTCCGGAGAGCCCCTTCCTTCTGCTCTGCTCTGCCCCCCTCTGCCTTTGCAAGCCGGGGCCCAGAGGTACGGCAGTCCTCCTGGCCCTTCCCGGGCGTGACTCATGTCCAGGCTCACCCTGCTGATGGAAAAGAGCAGCCCTGGCCGGTCGGAGCACATCCCGGTGAAGCAGAACCGCAGCTTCCAGTAAAACAGGTGCTCCCACACGAAGGTGATCAGGCTGAGCGCCATGGCGGCGGCCAGCATGTAAAAGACGCCCGCCATGTTGTCGATGTCCAGCTGGCTGCTCATGACCTCATTCTTCTCGTTGTGGCAAATGCCGGTCAGCCAGAGGGTCTCCAGCTCTTCCATCTCCCCTAGAAAGAAAGGCCAGTGAAGGTCAGAGGGAGGCGGGCATCCAAGGCGAGAGGGAGGGAGGGAGGGCGAAGGACGTGGAGTTGCAGCGTTCCTTATGGAGAGCTGGTCACCAAGCAGAGTTTGGCTTGGGAAGGCCATTCTCTTGAGCGGAACTCCCCCGACTGGGCTGGAGGGCTAGAGTGGGTGCAGCTATTAAGGAATAAAAGACTCTGGGCGCACTGAAGCCGAATGTTATCTTCTTTCTGCCCCCCTTTTTTTAAAGCAAAGGATGTTGGTGTTTTGTCGTTTTTCAGCTAGAAAAAAAAGGAGCTGTTAAAAACAGAAAAGATGGATTCCCTCCCTTTGCAAGAAGGCAAAACGGCTATTCGATGCCTGAGACAAGTTTCAGATGGGAGGACTGTGAGGCCTGCAAAGGGCAGGGGATCGGCACCCCCAACTCCCCCCCCCCCCAAGAAATGGGCTCATCTGCGCAGAGAGCAAAGTGAAGCGGCTTCTCTCTTCCCTGACTCTGGAGAACTCTCAAAGGAGTTTCTTTTATGGGGCGTTTCCAGTTTTCTTTCCCAACAGAACAATTCAAATTTCCCAAAGCCTCAATGTGGGGAGGGGGGGTGTCCCCCTTCCTGGTCTTGTCCCTGCTTAGGAACTAAGTGGAGGGTTGCAGGCAGGGGGAGGGAGGGAGGCCCGGCGGGGTTCCCGCAGATTCCCAGGCTCCACCTCAGCCGAGAGGGAGCCCCCTTCCAGGAAGGCCCTTCGGCCACTCACCGTCTCCCACAAACTGCAGCAGCGCCAGGTCGATGGCCCTCTTCCAGGGAGACCCCTTCTGCAGAGCGATGCCGTAGCCCGTGGTGGCAAAGATGTAGCCACTGCCAATGGTCACCAGCTTGCAGCCTTCGTCCCGCCCGGCCTTGTAGTTCAGTACGGCCGCGTCGTAGATGAAAGCGTCCAGCTTCCTGGAATGCAAAGGAAGGGAAGCTCAGCTGGCGGACGGAAAGAAGGCGCCTGGCCGCCTGCCACTCCGTGCCTGGTCCCGTGGCCGGCAGCCCATCAGGGGCCGGAGAAGAAGATCCAGTGACTGCCTGCAGCCCTTCACTCTCTGCAGGAGAGAGGAAGCGAAAGGAGAGAGAAGAGAGGCACCCTCCACTTTGGCCCACAATCGAACCCTGGGCCCATTGGCCGGCTTTGGAAAGTGGCTGTCCACACAGGTCCCTCCCTCCCTCCCACGCCCGAGGTGTGTTCTGCAGGTTCAGGAAGAGGGGAGAGCTCCAGGCCTTTGGGGCCTCAACCACGAGGTGCATCCCTTCCCTTCTCCTTTCTCCTTCCTTCCTTCCTTCCTTCCTTCCTTCCTTCCTTCCTTCCTTCCTTCCTCCCTTCCTCTCAATTAAAGCCCTTCCTTTCCAGGGGTGAGGGGCTTCTCAGCTGTTTATCCTGGCCCATCCAGACAAACCACCCAGGCTTGACCTGACCGGGGGTCAGAGGAAAGACCCCGGAAATGCCTCCGATGGATGCTGTGCCAACCCAGTCTGACCACGGAACGCACAACGTGGAAGAAACAGGGTGCGTGTGATGAGAGTGTGCAGCCTGGGATGGACCCCGGTGGGCTCTTTTTCTCCGGTTTTAAGAGGTGGTTGTTGTTGTTGTTTTTTCAAAAGCTGCTGCTGTGGGCTGCCCTTCCCAGCTACGTTCCTGCAAAGTAATCAGCTTACAACACACTCAATTCCCCGGCAAAATGGTGAGCTATCAGAGTGCGCAATAAAATACGGCAACAAATGCACCATTTTTCAAACAGCAGCAGCCACTCCGGGGGAATGTTGGGGGGGAGGGGGCCCTCCCCAGGTCGCAGAGCAAACTTCTGTGTGCTGTGATTCCAAGCAAACCCAACACACACACACACACACACACACACACACACACACGGCTTCTTTCAGGGAGAAAGCCTGCCATGCTGCAGGAGAAGCCAAGGCTGAAAGCAGCTTTTGGGACCTATAACGGCGGCCTGAGGAATCCTCCCAGCCCCTCTCCTCCCTTGGCTGGTGCCTGGCCAAAGCAGGGGGCAGAGCCCCCTCCCGGCACAGGTGGCAGGCAGGCAGGCTGCTCCTGGCCATGGAGGCTCCCCTGAGGGGCTTTCTCTCTTCCAGAAGCCTTCCGACCCAACGGCCTCCAAGTGAGGCGCCTTTTCCTTCCTTTCCTGCCACGAGGGACTGCTAAAGACAGTCCTGGTTTAGTGACTCTGCCTCCTTTAGCAACGGCGGTGACGGTCAATGGGGGCGAGACGGTCACTTTGCTACCCGCCCTTAGAGGGTCTGCCAAGGAAAGTCGAAGGAAGGTGGCAAACGCCGTAGTGGTTTCACCAAGTGACCTTTTCACTTAACGGCAGAGTTACCAGTCTCGACGGAGGTCACTAATCGAGGACGACCTGCATTCCCCCGCCAAGCTTTGCCGCTGGAGGTGTGGACGGGGCCCTTTCCGGAGGGGCTCAGTTCCGTGGCTGCTTCCACACAGGAAGAGCCGGGTCCCTTTGGGGTCTCAGGCCAACCGATAAGAATGCTATTTTGATCGATGGCCACCTGGCATCTATTCTGCTATTGGGGGAGGGGTTGCGGGGGGGGGGGGGGGGGTGGGGGTTGGGGGGGGTTTGGCTTCAAAACCCGGGCGGGGGGGGGGGGGGGGGGCTCCATTGACAGAGAGGCGGCTCCTGCTGGAGGCTGCTCCTCCGTCCCCTCTTCCAAGCCGCCTCCATCTCTGCTCTGTGCTGGTTTTATTACCTGCTTTCTCTTTGTTTTTGCCTGGAGCACCTGGCTGTGAGCTCCGGCTGGGCCAGCCGTGATTTACAATTACTTTTATGAATAATAACCAAAGCGAGCCGTTCGTTCTCCAAGTCCGCGGCACACAATAAAACACTCGTCCTTTCCCAGAGTGGCCAAACTCCCCCTTGGCCAGGTGGGGCTGCCATCCTTACACACACACACACACACACACACACACACCCCGGCTGCGTGCTGGCTGCTTCCTCCCCCGACATGATTTTCAGTTCCCGCATCCGTAACTCAAAATAGACGGCGCCCTGTCAGTTGCAGGGAGCGTCATGTTTCAGCGAGGGAAGACTCATCACCCCCTTAACGACACTTGACAGCGAATAAAACACCAACGTGAATTTCCACACTGGGGGGAAGGAGGGGGGGCAGGCAGAGGTTTTCCCCTCCGAAGCCCCAGAAAAGAGGCAGGACGCGGCCCGTCCTTCCCTCGGCTGAACCTGGGAGTCAAGCAGCCGGGATGCCACTTTTGGGGGGGGGGAGCTGGAGGGACTGTGCCCCCTTAATTGTGCCCTCCGGGGCCAGAGGCGGTCTATCTGCCAGAGCCGTGGTGGCGCAGTGGTTAGGATGCGGTATTGCAGGCTGACTCTGCCCACTGCCAGGAGTTCGATCCTGACCGGCTCCAGGTTGACTCAGCCTTCCGTCCTTCCGGGATGGGTAAAAGGAGGACCAAGAGGCTGGCTCCGTAAAACCGCTCCGGGGGGGCTGTCAAGCACTATGAAGGGGCATCTAAGTCGAAGGGCTGCCTTCAAGTGGCTGGGAGAAAGCGCTTGCCTTCCGCCCCGCTGGGCTTGTTAGTCCAGGACGATGGTCTCGGACGAGGGGGAAAACCCTCCAAAGCAGAGGTTCCTCAACCGTGGCAGCTTGAAAATGTGGGGGTGTCAACACATCGCCCCCCCCCCCCGGCGTTTCTTCACCTGCCGAAGCCCCGGCTTTAAAGGATCACGCGGGCCGATGTCCGGAACTCAGAGCAGCTCTCTGCAGCCCCCTCCCTCCGCCCTTCCCTCCCCCCCCTTCCCCCAAATGCTCGGAGCCAAAGCGGTGGCATATTGATCCCCAAATCAGGGGGCAGGACAGGCGACGTGCACCCCCTGCTGCAGGCAGCGGCCATCAGCAGAGGCGGGAGAGCACCTGGGCATCGAGAGCGCGGACCAATCCGGAAAGCGGGGGGGTGGGGGAGGGGGCAGTCCTTGGCAAGGGGCGCCTGGGGCTGGGGAGGGGCTGGGGAGGCCTCAGGCTCTCCATGGGGCCCCCGACCCTCCTGGCAGGAACAATCCCCTGGACCATCCCTAGCAGCCCTCGAGAAGGGAAAAGGACCCCCACCCCTGCAATCTGCCAAGCATGGGGGGAGGGGTGGGGGGGCTGCTCATTGGTCCCCACAGAAGCCTTTCCTGCCCACAACCGAGAGGCAGCCGGCCCCTTCCGTGGGGGGGGGGTGCTTCCCCCCCCCCCAGTGACTCGATGTGGGGCAAGGTGCCTCCTTGGGGTCCCTGCAGGCTCCAGCCAGAGTGGGGGGGGGGGGCGCTGTGCCTCGTGCAGCCCCAGGATCTGCCCCTCCTTAGAAGGGCCAGGCGAAGGAGCAGCGCCATGGAACCGAATGAACCAGACCCCCCCCAGGGGCCCCCAGCGCCCCACCTACCCGGTTTTCAGGCTGACCAGGGCGTCCTCCACGCCCTTCTGGTTGTACTTCACCATGTACGCGTGCATCTCCTTGTAGTTGTTGCGGATGTTCCTCTCGGTGCTCCCGTTGGGGACCGTCCCGAAGCGGAAGGGAGGGGAGTAGGCGTAGGGCTGCTGAAACTGGGGGAGGGGAGAGGGGGGGTCAGGCATCACCCGGCTGGCACGGAGGGGCACCACTCGCCAGCAGCATGGAGCCCCCCCAGCCCCTCCCCCACACACAGAGGCCTCCCTGCCTGGCCAGCCCGGGGACCCCACTGTGGCCACCCTCCACCCCCACCCCAGGCGCCTCCTCCGAGCGCCTGACAGTCCCGGCTCTTGGGGGGGGAGGAGCGTATCCATCCGAACCCAGTTCATTCCCTGGCTTTGATAGGAACCACAGACGTTCGGCTGGACCTTCCAGAACGTTGCAGTTTGCAGCAGTCACCAGGCACCAGAAAGGCCCACAGCAGAGGCACGTACACAGCAAAAGCCCACGGAGGAGGAGGAGGAGGAGGAGGAGGAGGAGGAGGAGGAGGAGGAGG